TGTGTTATTTCCCAATTGAATGTGAAATAACACAAATTTGCTTTATTTCATTTCTCGTTGAGCAATAAGACCAACTTTTATACTTAACAATTTGAGTAATAAAGCAAACTAGTGCACATATCTGTGTTCGTATGGAAAAGTAGCTTATGTCGAAAGGCCGGCTTTAGTATAATGCGGCATTCCCTTTATTTTTTAAACGACAAGGAATTTTTTGATGAGACTTAAAAAGAATATTGACTTGCTAGTATCGGAACTATTTCTTGCACGTTTATTTGCTAAAACGGCTTAGCGCCCGTAAGTCATTCGCAATCGTATGCTGCGAATGCCGATTTATACTAAAGCCAGCCTTTCGACATAAGCTACTTTTCCATACGAACACAGATATGTACGTAGTCACCCAGTTACATTGGACGGATTTGTAAGTATACAATTTTGAAAGTGCCCGGCGTCGCGGCGGTCCGCGTTCGCGCGCCGCCCCGCGCCGCTTTCGACGTCGCGCTCGCGTCCCCTGCCCCTCCCCTACTTTCGCAATTATGTACTGGTGGCATTATAACCGTTTAGAAAAAGGAAAAATTATAAAATAACACTAGTTCACTTCTGAAACTGCTTTTAATGTCCAAGTAATGGGAATTATTGTGTATGGTGTTATTGCATGCTGCATCCCACCCATAGTGGAATTTACCAGGTGCCACTGCTTTATTTGAAAATTTGCCTATAAAATATGACTATATATTTCGAATAGAAAAAAAAAAGTTATAGCCACTTTTGTGGAAAGAGGACTGAGACACGCTAGAATGTATTTAATAGATTTAAATTTAAGTTGCTCTTGTTACCGACCAATGACATGCTAAATAGTACAAAGGTACTTTATTACCTGCTCCTGACATTATTTTATGTTACTTACCGGAATTCGGACTAGAGTCTATAACAAGGGCTATATCTATCAATATTTTTTGTGAAGGATGGGTTCACGTGAAATAAGATATACATGAGTTGTTTGAAGAAAAATTTATTCATTTATTAATAAAATATGCTTAAATTGGCGACCTTCTACTCTAATGCAAGCTCGGCGGCTTTTAAGAAAAGACGCTTTTAGAGATCTTCAACTCAATTGGGCTATCTCAGCAGCAGCTCCATTTATTTGTTCCCGCAAATGCTCTTCGTTTTGAATTATTTTTGAATAAATTTTGTCCTTAAGACAGCCCCAGTAGAAAAAATCTAATGGATTCAGGTCTGGCGATCGAGCAGGCCACGTGATTGGCCCGTATCGTCCAATCCGTCATCCCGTCATTTTGCAGCCATAGTCTTCGCCGCAGGTTTAAGGGTACATCTTCTAAAAGAGTTGGAAGCCGTTCCTGAAGGAACTCTAAATAACTGTGAGAGTTGAGCGTTGGCGGCAGTTCCACAGGTCCCAATATCTGATAATTAAAAATACCGCACCATAAATTTATTTTGTACCGGTACTGCGAACGATCTTCTCTCATTGCGTGAGGATTGTCTATCTGCCAACTGTGAAGGTTATGTAAATTAAAATAACCATCACGTTTGTATGATGATTCATCGCTCCAAATTATTTTACTAAAAAGTTGGGATCTGATTCATGCATTCGCAACATTTCACGGCAAAATCTAACCCTCGAGAGGTAATCTCTTTCTTGTACAGCCTGAACACGTTGAATGTGGTAGGCATGAAATCGATGGTCTTTTAAAGCTTTGTGAACTGTATTTTTTGGTATTCTCGTCCGTCTTTCCATCATTCTCACTGAAGTCGATGGATTTAGTTCCATTTCATCTAACACAACTTCAACATCTACCGTTGCAGGACGTCCTGTTTCGCCGCACGCCGTCCAGGTATGCGACCTTAAAAAAGTGAAAAATGATTGTTAACAAGCAAGCAAACAAGAAAGGTGTAAAAATCACTTACCTTCATATATTTCTCTATGGGTCCGGGCGAATACTTCACGACCCGGATGCCGACGATTGGGGTATCGCTCTGCATAGAGTCTTTGGGCAGCTCTGGCACTACAGCAAGCTTCACCGTAAATTAGGTGAATATCCGCATATTCATGCGACGTATACTGCGTGTTCTCTGTCATAGTATTAATAACACAATGTTCGAAGGGTCCAATTTCACAAAATCCACTTTCACTAATTCCGGTAAGTAACACAAAATAATGTCAGGAGCAGGTAATAATGTACCTTTGTACTATTTAGGATGTCATTTGACGTTAACAAGAGCAAATTCAATTTAAATCTATTAAATACATTCTAGCTTGTCTCAGTCCTTTGCCCACAAAAGCGGCTATAACTTTTTTTTCTATTCGAAACAGTAAGAGTGGCACCTTTCTGAAATCTTTATTAAATTAACAACTTTTTATGTAATGTAAAGTTATAGCTCAGTACATTTTTTTTCACCAGAGATAATCAAAGTTGGGGAAGAAAATATCAAAAAGTTAAAAATCCCAAAATAGTCCTAATTTTATGATGGTTCCTTAATATATTTTAACTACATTGCATTTGAGTATGGAGAAGCAACTATCTGGAAGTATTTTACATAAAAAATTTACTAAGTATAGCCTTGTTTGTAGATTCAGTTAAAGAAAATACATGAAAAGGCACGATTTTTTTTAAATTCAAAAAAATTTAAATATTTCAAAAACGGTAACACTTTTACCTGAAATTTTTTTGTTTATCAGAGAGACCACCCCCCACCCACCTTCCTCTAAAGTTTGGCAGGATACTTCTGGGACACCCTGTATATAGAGTCTGATAAACCATTTACTATTCCGAAGGAAACTGTGAAACTGTGATATTTTCTTCTCCGCTATATCCCTCTACCTATTGAAAAAGCGTGATCCCAAATGCTTGAGGCACCTTTTCTAGAGTCATCCTGACAACTTCTGTAGATGGAGCTATAGCACAATAACCTGTGTTGACGACGGTAAAAGCCTTTACTGCTGATTTGTTTAGCGTCAATAATTCTTCAGTGCGACCCTTATTATATTTGGCCAAGGATCTTAAGATCTCAAAGTCATCCCAATTGATCAATAGGTCATTAGTTATGCTTAAGAGAAAAGATATCCACGATAGTAAGAAGTTATCCGCTTCGCTAATTGGCATTACCGAGCCGCGCCTCGCCATCTCATTGGCTATTTCGTTCCCTTAGATACTGATATGTACACGAACCTAGCAGAAAGAGGTTTTGACGTGACTGAGTGAAGCCAGCGATGCACGACATTTCCCAACTACTTTCGACTTTACTTCGTTGGAGCCTAATGTTTTCAGTGCCGCCTGGCTGTCAACGAATACAGTGACGTTCCCTGACAGAGACTTACAATTCCGTATGAGACAAGCCGCCTTCTCTATCGCAAAGTTTTTTTGCTTGAAAGATACTTCAGTTATCAGGCAGGCGATAGGATTCCCTTATCTGAAGATCTTCGGAATGCAGATCCAAGCCGACTCCTATTTCTATCTTTGATCCATGAGTGTAGATCAAACTGAAAATAACTAAGCACCGATCTGACCTTCAAATTATCTGCATTCAACACAAAACCCTTATCGGTTAATTAATCTTGTTAACATCGTGTGGTTGTTGAAATTTTCGAAACATCAGCCATTAATTGTCACTACAAGAATGATGAGAGATAAGCCGGAGGCGACAACTTTGGTAGCTAAAGAATGCAGATTGCTAGAAACAGCTCGCTAGCTATAAAAGCTTTTGAAAATTCCAATCAAATTACAGTCTCTCAATTCCTTTTTGAGTATTAAATACATAGTTGAAATCATGAAACCAATCAGCATCATCGCCTTATCCATTGTGAGCTTGGCTGCCTTATGGCAGTGCAGCCTAGCAGCTGTGATGGCTGAAGGTGTCATCTCGACAGGTGGTAAGTAATTGTGTGTTGTCTGCAAGCAAAAAAAAAAAAGTTCTTTAATGCAACATTGTAGATCCGTACTTGCAAATTAATCCATCGGCAGGTAAACGCTCGGAAGCAGTGGTTGCCACAGCTGCAGCTATGCCATTGAATCAGAGATTCTATTTGGGTACTGAAAAGGTAAGTGATCGATGAGTTTCTGTCTTCCCCCAAAATCCTCCACGGATGTATCTAAAATGCTCTGCGGATGTATCCAAAAATATATAAATATTCTTTCAGCTCTCTTGGTATGAAGCCAACTATTATTGTGGTCTAGGCAACTTGAAACTTGTGCAATTGACGAATCCAAGCTTAGAGGCGGAATTGAAAGGTTTCCTAAGCTACTATGGTGAGTTTTCCTTTTCGAGTACTGCCTTAAATACCCCTTCCAGTTTTCAAGTTATATACATTTTTTGTCTTGACATTCTTCTTCCTTCAAGGTTTGGAAAGTAAACATTATTGGACTGGCGGCAACCGCTTTAATACGCAACACAATTGGAGTTGGGGTCTGACTAGCTACACCATTAGCTACAGCCACTGGGCTTCCCAACAACCCAGCAACTATACGACTGAGAAGCACTGCTTGAAGCTGTGGGGAAAGACCAATGAGTGGTTAAGTGAAGATTGCGATATTGCCTATGATTTTATTTGTCAGAAATATTAAGAATTTGAAGCAACATACATAAAATACGAATACTAAAATAATTTAAACAAAAGTTTAATAAAAATGAAGGAACGCACCACAAATCTTTGGCTATTCAAATTTATTTTGTCATAGTGTCTAAGGAAAGTCTGTCATTAGCTTATTTTTTTTTTTAAATGCCTTCAATGGAAAATGCTGCGTGTAGTATTGCAATTACTATTCCATAAGCATCACCATAACCATAACGATCGAGAATCATCTAAAAGGATGAGGACGATCTAAAAACTTCTGAAGAAAGGCACCCTACCACAGTATAGTAGAAGGGGTACCTAGAAGTAAAATAATTACCAATGAACTAGCAGAGACCAGTGCAAGGATTCATAGGGTCAGGACCTTCATACATAGGTGTTCCATGAAGCGCTATCAGCTGAAATTCTCAAACGTGAACGAATAAGGAAGCGCAAAGTTACTGTTAGCAATGTTAACACTGAAATAGATAAGAATAGATACGGGCTATATGTATGTTAATCTAGGTCATAAGCTCGCTTGGCTATTTTATCCAAAGAAAGAACAACAAACATACTCACACAGTCACTAACAAACCTTCATATTGATAACATTAGTAGCATTTTATTAATTATCAATGAAATTGATTTTAAATTCCTACGCTGGTGGCAACCCTGCTCAAAAATATGTTCGAAATAGATAAAGCTTTCTTAAAACTCCTCTCGCTGGATTGATACCCATATTAGGATATTTTATTCAACTTGTTAATTAAAATGATTTTGAATTTCTAATTAGGTGGCAGCGCCCTTTAAAAAAAATATTTTTAAAATCACTATCTCATTTGATGTCCATATCAAAATATTTCGTTTAATTTGTTAATTAAACTGATTTAAACTTCTGAACAGGTGGCAACGTTCTTGAAAAATATTTTCGGAAAAACATGTTCTTGAACCGATTTCTTTTTACACCCATACTGTTGCCACATTTTACTTAACTAGTAGTTAATCGGTATTAAAATTTTAACAGGTGGCAAACCTTTCGAAATAAGTCTTTCGAAACTCCTTATCTTTTGATATCCACATTGTTGTAATATTTTATTAACTTAATAATAATAATTTTAACTTAAAAAATTGGCAACTCGCTTAAAAAATATCCTGTATCTGGTGGCAGCTTCCATAAAAATATTTTTGAACTAAATTTGTTGTAAACCTCGTTTACCTTTTTCATTCAACTGATTTAAACTTTTTGAAGAGGTGACAACCTTCTTAAAGAATATTTTCGTAAAAAACCGTTGTTGAACCGATTTCTTTCTATAGCTGCACTGTTGTGATATTTTACTTAATAAGTATTTTATCAATATTATAAATTTAACAGGTGGCAACCTCCTTAAAAACATACTTTCGAAATAAGTTGTTTTGAAACCCCTTTTCCTGTGGCACTCACATTGTTTTAGTTTTTTATATAACTTAATAATTGGTTGACTTTAATTTAAAAACAAAGGTGGGGCAACTCTTTTTAAAAATATCCTGCATCCCGTGGCAACTCCCTTAAAATATTTTTGAAATAGAGCTTTTTTAAACCACTCTCGCTTAAGACCCATAACAAAATATTTCTTTTACCTAGTTACTTACACCGATTTGAACTTTTTGAACAGGTGGCAACCTATAAAAAATATATTCGTAAAAAATTTTTCTTGAACCTGTTCCAATAATCTACCTACCGATTTTTTTTTTCATTTTAAATCTCTTTGCATGACCTACAATCCTGACTATCCTTTTGTTGAGGGGGGGGGGTGAAATAACACAAACGGCAATAACGCAAATCTGTGTTATTTCCCAATTGAATGTGAAATAACACAAATTTGCTTTATTTCATTTCTCGTTGAGCAATAAGACCAACTTTTATACTTAACAATTTGAGTAATAAAGCAAACTAGTGCACATATCTGTGTTCGTATGGAAAAGTAGCTTATGTCGAAAGGCCGGCTTTAGTATAATGCGGCATTCCCTTTATTTTTTAAACGACAAGGAATTTTTTGATGAGACTTAAAAAGAATATTGACTTGCTAGTATCGGAACTATTTCTTGCACGTTTATTTG